ATTCACCAAACGCGGATCCAGTTATTGAGCGAACAATGTTTGAAGTGGATGTCGTATGCCGAATAGGGGGGCCTTGTTGCGTCCGACTCGTTGTATTCCGTTGAATATCAAAAGCTTCGTCCGTATTGCTAACTGGCAACCTCTCCGGGCTCCCCTTGCAGACGCCGCTGCTTGATTCAAATCCCCTGTTGCGGCTTTTAGAAGTGCCTAGGAGGTGTGCACTCAGCATATCCTGTTTTTCTTTCTCAAGTGCATGACGTTGCTCTTCCAGGCGCTCTCGCTGCTCCTTCAACTGTTGTCTCTCCAGCTCCAACTCCTCCCTCTGCTTATTTTGCTCCTTTTCCAGTTCTTCCTGCCTTCGCCGTAGTTCCTCAGCTTCCTTCTGCTGTTGCTCTTGTTGCGCCCGGAGTTTCTCGAGTTCATCATAACTGACCGCTCTGCTTGAAACTGCAGATATGGGGTTTTTGTTATGCAACGGATCATGTGATGGCGCATGGGGCGGAACTGAGGGGATGCAGGCTGGCCTCACATGGGAGTATCTTTCTTGCAGTTGTTTTTCGTCAGCTGTGAGAGGATAGCTTGCCGATGGGTGAACACTACTCCGCTCAGGAATATGTGGTTTCTGGGCGGGAGGCCAATCGTTGCAGGGAGATGTTTGTATTCTAGGTATCTGTAGCCCTTCCGCTGGGTATACCGACTGCACTGTAGGAATTGAAACTTTGCCACCCTGTTGTTCGAAATAGCTCACCGGCGCCGTGATGTTTTCACCCACACCGTAGCGCACCCGGGTCGGTGACTCGACTCGGATGGTGTTCCCACTGCATGGCCCATAACCCGGGTAGGGCCCCAAAGGAGACGAAATAATGCGCATTGGTGAGGTGGCTGCGTAGCCTCCTGGTGGAGAAGGTATAACTGGAAGCCCTGCCTGAAATCGAGGAGTTGGAACTTCGGGAGACAAATATGTGTCCGCATGGCGTTCAACGGGTGCGCCTCCCGCCTGCCCAGCCGCTCCCCATCCCGACAAACACAGCGGGCANTCTTCGGCTACCGAAACCGGTTCCCCGCACGCCCACGGTCTCCGCGGCTTTGGCATATTGTTGGGTTGGAAATTTGCACTCTCCTCCCTGGCCTGGCCCTGTGAAGCCTTAGCTGTTGAGCCACTTGGTCCCACACCAGAGGACCGTCTTCTAGCTGAGGCTGAGCCAAATTCGAAGAAGGTGAAATCAAGTACTTCGTCCAATAGAGAGTTTATGGGGGAACGCGAAAGCCGCTTGGCTGGCTGCACAGACAGCGCTGGTAGGGTCTCTTCCGACGAAGCGCTCCGAAAGGCCTCTTCCTCGGTAGAGTAACCTTCTTTTTGAAGTGAGGCTTTTAGGCCAGAGTCCTCTTTCCTGAAGGCTTCTGAGGAACTTCGAGAAAGCACGGGTCTCTCCCCGTCTTCACCGGCGACTGGCCGCCACAGCTGCAGAGTCCACAAAGACGAGGCAGACATAAAATTACCACAAAAAATATGGGATGGCATCCTGCAAGCCAGTGCAGGCTGGTGAAGCGCTAGTCGCTTTTTCATCGTCCCCTTATACGGAACTGGGCTAGGATGACCATCTAGAGAATCGACACTGGCGGAGGCCGGGACTCCCGGCATGCGCTCCTCTAAGGGCTCTTCATCTTCTGCCCCCCCCAGAAGCATTTTGAGTTTTTCACTCCGCAAGCGGTCCGCCCGTATTCGGTCGCCTGGACGTCGTTGATGCTTATGCAGAGCGAACTCCACCGCACTTTCCAGAATACGGTTTGTTGCCGCCATGCCCAAAGGCTTCGAACCTCCCCAACCGGTGGAATTTGCACTGGCTAACATAGGCTCTGACGGTGCTGATGGCTGTTCCAGGTAGCAAGTCACGGGCTGCGTCCTTTGAGAAGCCAACTTTCTAAGTCTTCCAAGAGGAGGAAGCTCTTGCATACTGCGGACTGCAGCATCTTCGTAATCTGTCAACGGGTCCAAGCATGAGTGCCATCGGGTCCGCCTCCTTTTGTCCAGCTGGACGTCAGCGGGTGTTTCGGAAAAGCTTCTCCGCCCTGTCGAGTCGGTAGTGAGATGCCGTTTTCTGGCTTCATCATGCACTACATGGAGTCCGCAGCCTGAGCCAGTTCGACTGCTTTGTGAGTTCGTGCTCATGCTCTTCTTTGTAGCTACAGGCCTTTGGCTTTCTCCTCCGGACTCTTCCGAAGGCAAAGCTCTGAACATTGAGCAAGTCCTGTAACCTTCACTTGCAGAAGATTGTCGAGATGAGCTTCCTCTCGATGAAGATGAAGTCCCCCCTGCACCGGATATGGAGCTTTCGATTGACGCATCCCTTCTGCTGCCGGGGCCCGAAGAGCTGCTCCCATCTTCGGCGAGCCCTTCAGATGAGTCGGAAATGAACGACCCACGATTTGGGCGTCGGCGCACTTTTGAATGGGTCGGCAGGAACGCGCCACTAAATGTGCTTCGCCGCCGCGGTGGATCAGGGGAACGACACTCAGCTTCAAGCTGTTCACTTCCAGCAGGCAGATCGCTGCACAGCCTCAAGGCTTCATGAGGCACATGGAAACTTCCACTGTGGCGCCGCAGAGCGAAGCGTCTTCTCCCAAGCAGGTGGGGCGTCATCGGACCGACCTGCTGCTTGCTCAGTGCAACCCCCCTGCCGCTGTTGCTGTTATCTCTGCTAAAGGAACGCTTCTTAGACTCGCCGATCGCCTTTTGCTGTCCTTCGCTTGCTTCCTGGATATCACGGCTCTCTTCAGCAGCAACTGCTTGAGAATGGCTGCCATGGAGCGCCATTCCAGCACCAGCAGGCCCCTGAGAACCGTAGGTGCCATCCCCCTGTGCCTCCGGCAAGCATTTGCCTACGCTGTTGCCTCGTACACTGATGTTCAGATTCTGCGTACCAGAGCCAGATTCCGCATTGGAGTCTGACACAAGGCGCGGTACACAGGGATCATCTTCAAGTTCACGAGAATCACGCTGACTGCTGTAATTTTCCTCCCGTTCCCGAGAGGCTTCGCTTGACCCCTGTACGCCAGATTGGGAGTCGAGGGAAGGATGTCCTCCCTCCCTAGGCTGTTCCGGTGCAGCAGCTGCGGAATCATCGTGTGTGGCTCCTCTCTGTTGTGCGGAAGGCGCGGCATATTCGCTGTGGGTAGCTGTAGCGCGAGGATCCCGTGAAGAAAACACTAGGTGAGCCAAAGAAGAAAGCGCAGCAGCGAGACCAGAAGCAGGGTGAGGCCAATGACCCGCAGCTAGAGGCTGTCGCGAAGCAAGACTTGCCTGGGAACTGGGAGCAGACAGTATACTGCGCGTCGGGGTGTCGACGCGCATGCCAGCATGCACATCCTGCCAATGAGCTGTTTCTTCACCTTCTAGAGTCGTCGGTGACACATGAACTGGCTTGGTCTCCTCCTCAACCTCAGTATTATCCGGCGCCAAAAGTCTCGACGCAGTTGAGACGAAAGGTGGCGATATACGGCCCTCGGTTTCCCCTACTGGAGGCTCATAATCTCTCGTTCCCACGAACGGTCTTCTAGAAAATTCCCTGCAGGAACTCCACGTTTCATAGACACCAGAATCACTGCTAATATTACTAGGGATGTTTTCAGTGCTCTGGTAGCCGCCTTCGTTGCTGTAGCAACTGCTGCAGCCGCTGCTCCTGCTGGTACTGCTGTCGGAGCTGCTGCTTCCAGATTCACTGCCACTGCTAGAGCCTCCATTGTCGCTGCTACTCCCGCTGCTGCTTGCATCGCTGCTGCTCCTACTACCAATGTAGTATCGTTCGGTACCCGTGAAATTGCCATGGGAGTCCGCATCTCTGCTGGATCCACGGCCGCCCTGGGGGGTGTCGCCACTCCTACGGCTTTCGCTATTTGGGGGGTAGTTACATGAAGCTGTGTCTTCCTCTGCTTCTGCAGTTCTTGAGGGGCTCCCAGAATGACCTCTGGGCGGGCATTGGAGGCCATACGCTTGAGATCCGTCTGAAGATCGCTGCTCTTGCAATCGTGAACAGGTTTCGCGCTGTCCATGATTCACATGTTCTATCTGCCNTCTGAAGATCGCTGCTCTTGCAATCGTGAACAGGTTTCGCGCTGTCCATGATTCACATGTTCTATCTGCCCCTTCTGCTCTCTACGGGAATGATCTCCCGATCCAAATGTGGTGCACTTCCACCAACGGGCAAGTGCATCGCTTTCTCCAGCACTTGATGAAACCACTGGTTCTCGACAATTTCTTGTTCCGTTCTTTGACCGATTCCGCTTTATCGTCTGCCTTTCTAGCGATTCTCCGAGAGGTGATTCTCTGTTGTGGCCTGAATGGGTGTCTGAATGGCTGACGATGTCGTAGAGCCCATCCTGAGACTCCAGGGAATGCGCAGAATTTCCCTCGTTCGCACGTGCACGCTGCCTCGGCTGGCGCTCTTGGGTATTTCCAGACGAGCTTCTGCCCTCGCTGCCACGCGCAAACTCGCCACTCGGGTCTTCCACCTCCCGTTCAGAGCCGTTTGAAGCATCCTGGAAGCTATCGTCGGCCGCTGCAGCCTCTCCAACCAAACCCAAAATGCATGGTGTACCAGCTCCCTGACCGCTGTCCGGCGACGCCTGCT